CTTTATTTTTTGTATTCATTTGCCTCAGGAACATAATCAGTTTAGGAAGTGTTCAGGTAGGGCGTATTAATGTTTATTTTCACTGATAATCTTTGCTTAATAAATCTTATATAGAATTTATGGTTATCTTCTTGAGATCTTCTTGAGGTTATCTTGAGATGATTTCCGGGCTTTTTTAGTGTCCCCGCGGCCCGGTCCTCGACCAGGCCTCCACCCCCAGGAAGCAGCCCGCGACAGCTGACTAACACCCAGTTACCTAATTTACTGCTAGGTAACAGGGGGCATAGAGTGAAAGAAACTCTGCCCATTGTTTCTCGCCGGCGCCTTGGATCGAACCCAGGACCACAGGATCACAAGTCCCGCGTGCTGTCCGCTCGGCCGACCGGCCCCCTTGGTGTTTGGTAGAATTTCCCCCAACGGATATTTTACGTGGTTGTTGGATCCCGTGTGTACTCACCTATTTGTACTCACCTATTTGTGCCTGCAGGACAGGGTTTGTACTCACCTATCTGTGCCTTCAAGACCCATACTTGAGACTAGGCTCTCTCTGCAAGCCACCAAGCATTTATTTAATATCGCATATAATCCCTTTGTACTTTGATTTAATTCCACGCGTAACGTAAATCTTAGATCCCTCCTTATCGGATAACTAGGGATCCATTTCCGGGGTTTATGCCTAATTGACGGTATCCTGTTTCACCGTCAATTGTGGGAAGTACCCAGTGGGTAGTAACAGCAGGTGGTGGCGGACAGTGAAGACGGTCCAAGCCAGGTGACAGTGAAGACGGTCCAAGCCAGGTGACAGTGAAGACGGTCCAAGCAAGGTGACAGTGAAGACGGCCAAGCAAAGTGACAGTGAAGACGATCAAGCAAGGTGACAGTGAAGACGGTCAAGCAAGGTGACAGTAAAGACGGCCAAGCAAGGTGACAGTGAAGACGGCCAAGCAAGGTGACAGTGAAGACGGTCCAAGCAAGGTGACAGTGAAGACATCCAAGCAAGGTGACAGTGAAGACATCCAAGCAAGGCGACAGTGAAGACGGCCAAGCAAGGTGACAGTGAAGACATCCAAGCACGGTGACAGTGAAGACGGTCCAAGCACGGTGACAGTGAAGACATCCAAGCACGGTGACAGTGAAGACATCCAAGCACGGTGACAGTGAAGACATCCAAGCACGGTGACAGTGAAGACATCCAAGCACGGTGACAGTGAAGACATCCAAGCAAGGTGACAGTGAAGACATCCAAGCACGGTGACAGTGAAGACATCCAAGCACGGTGACAGTGAAGACATCCAAGCACGGTGACAGTGAAGACATCCAAGCAAGGTGACAGTGAAGACATCCAAGCACGGTGACAGTGAAGACATCCAAGCACGGTGACAGTGAAGACATCCAAGCAAGGTGACAGTGAAGACATCCAAGCACGGTGACAGTGAAGACATCCAAGCAAGGTGACAGTGAAGACATCCAAGCAAGATGACAGTGAAGACATCCAAGCAAGATGACAGTGAAGAAGGATCGTGTCTCCAGCACCGTTGGGAGAGAGAGAGAGAGAGAGAGAGAGAGAGAGAGAGAGAGAGAGAGAGAGAGAGAGAGAGAGAGAGAGAGAGAGAGAGAGAGAGAGAGAGAGAGAGAGCAGGAAACAGGTCACCGCTAAAGCAATTGTCTCCACATTATCTTACAGTGAGAGTGGAAAGAACCCGGACAGAGTTAAAGTAGATTAGCTTTACATGATAGCCAAGGGGGGGGGGGGGGAAGGAGCGGTATGATAACTACACGTGTCTGCTCACTTGGGTCAAGTGGTCTGCTGACTTGGGTCAAGCGGTCTGCTGACTTGGGTCAAGCTGTCTGCTCACTTGGGTCAAGCGGTCTGCTCACTTGGGTCAAGCTGTCTGCTCACTTGGGTCAAGCGGTCTGCTCACTTGGGTCAAGCTGTCTGCTCACTTGGGTCAAGTGGTCTGCTCACTTGGGTCAAGCGGTCTGCTCACTTGGGTCAAGTGGTCTGCTCACTTGGGTCAAGTGGTCTGCTCACTTGGGTCAAGCGGTCTACAGGGGACACGATTCACCAAACACTTACGCAAGCACTTACGAAGCCTCTACATCTTTCCTTAATCAAGGTGACTTTGTTGACACTTATTAAACAGTTTATACGAGAATGGAAATATCACAACCCAAGGTTATTACTGTTGTAAACAACCTCGTAGAGAGCTTAAAGAGCTCTTAAACTGGAAATGAGAGTAAACACCGTCGCCATGATCCAGGAAAGATGTACAGGTTTCGTAAGCGGTTGTGTTTTTAACATGATGAACTCCTGGTCCACAGATCTCCGCCAGGACACACGGAGCTATAGCACAAACCGACACCTTAGCGAGATCATACCGAAGTCATGCAATGGACTCGAACTCGCGTCTCTGCAGGACTTCCCCTCCCCGAGGTGTACGCACTACCGACTGATCCATGATGAGCTCACAAGTACACTTCTTCTTGAGTTACTTAACCTCGATAGTTGCTCACATACGTGACGTTACTACGGGCTCACCATAGCCCGTGCTACTTGGGACTTTTTGCTCCAGGTAGCGAATCTTAAACAACAACAACGTGACCGTCCTTGTAACAGTGTTTGGGCTTTATTACAACGAGCGGGAACGCACATACGGTGATATACAACGAATATTTTACAGCCGTTTATAACGAGTTCGTTATAACGTCTTGACGAGTCTGGCTTGAGACAGACATCACACGTCAACCCTCACGTCACAGGTGCTCAGGAGGAACACCTCGCTGACTCCTGTGTTCTGACATCACAGGAGTGTGCGTGTGACATCACTCTCCACGGGAGATAACCAGCCAATCGGCACGAGGGAAGCTGTATATCACAGAGGGCAGGAAATAGCCAGCCAATCAGGACGAAGGACGCCGTGTGATATCACAGAGGGCGGGAAATAGCCAGCCAATCAAGACGAAGGACGCCATGTGATATCACAGAGGGCGGGAAATAGCCAGCCAATCAGCACGAAGGACGCCGTTTGGTACCACAGAGGGCAGGAAATAGCCAGTCAATCAGGATGAAGAACGCCGTGTGATATCACAGAGGGCGGGAAATAGCCAGCCAATCAGCACGAAGGACGCCGTTTGATACTACAGAGAGCGGGAAATAGCCAGCCAATCAGCACGAAGGACGCCGTGTGGTATCACAGAGGGCGGGAAATAGCCAGCCAATCAGCACGAAGGACGCCGTTTGATACCACAGAGAGCGGGAAATAGTCAGCCAATCAGCACGAAGAACGTGTTTGGTACCACAGAGAGCGGGAAATAGCCAGCCAATCAGGACGAAGGACGCCGTGTGATATCACAGAGGGCGGGAAATAGCCAGCCAATCAGGACGAAGGACGCCGTGTGATATAACAGAGGGCGGAAAATAGCCAGCCAATCAGCACGAAGGACGCTGACTGCAAGACAGACGAGCGTATAATCAACAAGAGAAAAAAATAACATAATTGAGGTTAGATTAGCATTTTTACAGTCCTCTTGAACCTTGGTGGAGTTCCTTGCCCCTGTACACTCCTAGCCCCGACCTAGCCCCACCAGTCCTAGCAGCTGAGCTGAGGCAGGCGGGTAGAGGAAGGGGAGGGAGATGGGAAGAGGGTTGAGGGAATGAGAGGGGCTGTGAGAGGAATGGGGAATGGAGAGATAGATTTAATTTCCCCGGGCAGCGGCGGATACCCCCCCCCCCTCCTTTTACCCCCAATAACACACATAAATTGAACATCTCTTCCATCATAAAAGCAGTTTCCAGTGTTAAAAAAAAAAAATATATATATAATTTGCGATACGTTCGATTATTTTAACCATAATTTAGTCCCATTATATTCAAGACTAAAATCATGTAAAAAAAACACCAAATTTAGAATGACATCTCTCCCGTGTACGAAAATTTTTCAGGCCATTCATACGTGCCCAATTTAAAGTGAAATATAAATCTCCACAATTTTGTGAGTGGAGGAAAAGGTGGTCTGTTGATGTTCTCAGGAATATTCTCCTTGTTTCCGGACAGTCGTAGGTGGACGCCCCTCAGCTGTGCCTGACGTCTCTGCGTTTCTGGTTACGTTTGGACGTTGGATTTTATACGTTGTGGGGCTGCGGGATAGTGTGTGGGGGTACACCAGAGGTACAGCGTGTGGGGGGGTACAGCGCCCCATCACGGCAGACAACAGCGGGCAGCGTACCGTCGGCCACTAATGGAGAGATCACAGCGAGTAATTGCAAGTTAAAATGAAGTTAGAGCCTGGAGAGCAAGGTTAAAATTACTGTTCTCTGTTCTCTGTGAACTGGTATTTCTCAGCAGCGACAGCAGCAGGACGAGGAGCAGCAGCAGCAGCAGCAGCAGCGACACCAGGAGGAGGAGCAGCAGCAGCAAAGGAGATTAGTGCATATTCCTTAAGGTGCCACCCTCACTGTCTGTGGCACTCTGCCTGCCACACACACACACACACACACACACACACACACACACACACACACACACACACACACACACACACACACACACACACACACACACACACACACACACACACACACACACCACCCACACACACACACACACACACACACACACACACACCCACACACCCACACACCCACACCCACACACACACCCACACACACACACACACACACACACACACACGCACACACACACACACCACACACACACACACACACACACACACACACACACACACACACACACACACACACACAGGCCCCGGAGAACAACTGGTGTGTGTTGAGGCGCCTCGTCCCGCCGCTGGTGAGGGCGGTGCCTCACGCAGCTGCCCTCGAGAGCCACTCCACTAACTGCACCACAAAGGGCTCCTCCAGCCTCCTGATGTCGCTGCTGCAGGCGGGGGAGCTGGCGAAAGCACCTACCCCCCCCCCCCGGGCCTTGTAGGCACTGACACTTGTCAGGGCCACACTACGGGTGCCATGTGACCTACCTCGGCCCTGTAGAGTGTGGTGCCTGTGGTGGCGACGTGAGGTCGCTGACAGGTGAGGCTGAGGGAGGAGGCGGTGATGTTGGCGAGGCGACACGAGGAGAGTGGCAGCGGCATCTCTGTGGGTGAGGGAAGAAACACTGGGTGTTAGTGGGCTTCATCTGTGAGGCAGCATCCCCCTCTCACCGCACACAACTACACCCCACCACACTACCACGCCCCACCACACTACCACGCCCCACCACACTACCACGCCCCACCACACTACCACACCCCACCACACTACCACGCCCTACCACACCTACCACACTACCACACAACCCACACTACCACACAACCACACTACCACACAACCACACCCCCACACAACCACGCCCCACCACACTACCACACCCCACCACACTACCAGCCACGCCACACTACCACACTACCACGCCCCCCCACACAACCACGCGCCCCACCACACTACCACGCCCCCACCACACTACCACACCCCCACACTACCATACTACCACACCCCCCCCACTACCACACCCCACCACACTACCATAACTACCACAACCACCAGAACTACCACACCCCCCACACTACCACACCCCACCACACTACCACACTTACCTACCACACTACCACGCCCCACCACACTACCATACTACCACAACCACCAGAACTACCACACCCCCCACACTACCACACCCCTGCACTACCACATCCTTACTCTACCACACTACCACACCCCCACACTACTATACTACCACAACCACCAGAACTACCACACCCCCCACACTACCACACCCACCACACTACCACACCCCCCACACTACCACACCCACCACACTACCACAAGGAGTAGGCAACTACAGGGATCGGAGAGAAAGATTTAGGAGTGGATGTGACAAGAGACATCCAACACCAGAGATACACACAAACAGGATAACATCAGCAGCATGCGGGACGCTGGGAAATACAAGAACATAAATTAGAAACGCAAATCAGGACTCTTTCAATCTTCATAACATTTATTATCTCAATACTGGAATACGCAGCACCAGAATGGAATCCGCGCCTTGAGAAGCATGTTGCCAAAATTGAAAAGGTGCAGAGGCTTGAGAAGCATGTTGCCAAAATTGAAAAGGTGCAGAGGCTTGAGAAGCATGTTGCCAAATTGAAAAGATGCAGAGGCTTGAGAAGCATGTTGCCCAAAATTGAAAAGGTGCGAGGCTTGAGAAGCATGTTGCCAAAATTGAAAAGATGCAGAGGCTTGAGAAGCATGTTGCCAAAATTGAAAAGATGCAGAGGCTTGAGAAGCATGTTGCCAAAATTGAAAAGATGCAGAGGCTTGAGAAGCATGTTGCCAAAATTGAAAAGGTGCAGAGGCTTGAGAAGCATGTTGCCAAAATTGAAAAGGTGCAGAGGCTTGCAAAAATATAAGTTTCAGAGCTAAGAGGGTTAAGGTATGAGGAGAGGCAACCTGAAATAATCTGACAGCTCTAGAGGATAGAAGAAACAGGGCATATGATCACAACATACAAAATACTGACGGGCAGAGGCAGGATAACCTCTTCATCTTGAAAGCAAGTAGGACAAGAGGACGCGAGTGGAAGCATTGGAAGAAGAAGGTGTTGAAGCCACCTCCATCAGATTCCTTAAGGCTAGATTTGACAACGAATTCGATTTCAACTTAGATTCAACAGAGCAGAAGAAATTGTTAAAACACATGGGACAAAATCTTACTGAAGCGACCATACGAGTCATAAATACTCATACTCCGCCCAAGTAAAACAGAAACAAGCAACACTTAGTGGGCCAGCCAGAGGCTTAGGGCCCGCGCAGGTGGGCCAGCCAGAGGCTTAGGGCCCGCACAGGTGGGCCAGCCAGAGGCTTAGGGCCCGCGCAGGTGGGCCAGCCAGAGGCTTAGGGCCCGCGCAGGTGGGCCAGCCAGAGGCTTAGGGCCCGCGCAGGTGGGCCAGCCAGAGGCTTAGGGCCCGCGCCGTGGGCCAGCCAGAGGCTTAGGGCCCGCGCAGGTGGGCCAGCCAGAGGCTTAGGGCCCGCGCAGGTGGGCCAGCCAGAGGCTTAGGGCCCGCGCAGGTGGGCCAGCCAGAGGCTTAGGGCCCGCGCAGGAATACCCCTGCAGGTGGGGCCCCATAAACAACTAGACCTCACCTCCTCACTGTCACTGATAGGTAAGTACACAACCACAACCGCCACACAGAAACAAGCACCACACAACCACAATCGTACTACTGCCACAAACACAAATAAAAGCACCATTTTAGAATCACATCAAAACAACGACCACTACACCACTTACAAGCACCACGCAATCAAAACACAACTTCGATCACTGCACAGTCACACTCGCAACAACCACCACATAACCACAACCACAAGCACCACACAGCCACAGGCACCACTCGTAGTGGTCCCTCGTTAGCATCGTAGTGGGGCCTCGTAGCCTGGTGGATAGCGCGCAGGACTCGTATTCTGTGGCGCGGGTTCGATTCCCGCACGAGGCAGAAACAAATGGGCAAAGTTTTCTTTCACCCTAAGTGCCCCTGTTACCTAGCAGTAAATAGGTACCTGGGAGTTAGTCAGCTGTCACGGCTGCTTCCTGGGTGTGTGTGTGTGGTGTGGGGAAAAAAAAAAAAAAAAAAAAAAAAAAAAGTAGTTAGTAAACAGTTGATTGACAGTTGAGAGGCGGGCCGAAAGAGCAAAGCTCAACCCCCGCAAACACCACTAGTAAACACACACACACACACCACACACACACACACACACCACACACACACACACACACACACACACACACACACACACACACACACACACACCACACAAGTGACACCACTCTCTCACCCCACAAAACCCTGAGCCCACTGCTCCCTTCAGGTAAAGGCAAGACTATCAACCAGAGAAAGAAGAATTGCTACTTGCAGTGACCCTTCGATAAATATCCCACCTTTCTCAATCTCAATTTTCCCTCCCTCTCCCCCTTCCCCCTTCCCCACGCCTCTCTCCCCCCCTTCCCCAGCCTCACAGTCTCGGGCCCAGCAACTTTGGCATATATGCTGAGGGAATTACTCTGTCAAATCCTGCCGGCAAAACGCAGAAAAATGTCCCCGAGACGAAGGCCATGACGAATTTCCCACAGGAGCTGTTGGAGGAGGGGCTGGTGGAGGGGCTGGTGGAGGGGGGGGGCGACTGCTGGAACAGCTGCTGGAAGAGCTCCTGAAGGGCTAGTGGAGGAGCTGCTGGGAAAGCTGCTGTAGGGGCGGCCGGAGTGACTACTTTCTTCAACTCATTCCTCTTTCCAGCTTTAAAGTATATTCTCTCCTCCTAATTTCTCTCAAGTTAAATAGGCTCTCCTTGTCTACTTCGTCTATTCCCATTTTTTTATCTTGTAGGTTGTTATCATATCTCCTCTGTTTTTTTTGTATTCTTATCCCTTATTTTATTCTCGTAGCTAAACCCTCTTAGTTCTAACGCTAATCTTGATGCACATCTCTACATTTTGCAATTTTTATTTTGTGCTTTTAACAGGGGTGCGGATTTGAGGCCGGTGGCTGCATACTCCAATATTGGTCTAACGAAGGTGGTGTAGACTGTCTTGAAAGGGTCTTGATTTAGATTTCTATACGACGTTTGCCAGCGTCTCACACGCTGCTCGTGTTACCTTGTTTATGTGTGCCTCTGGCGTGTTACTGTTGGACTTATATCTACTCCGAAATCTTTTAAACTTTCTAATTCCAGTTGAGGACCTCTCTACGTGGTGTAGAGCTCGTCTCCCTTCTTCCTGTCCCATTTTCATTGCCTTACAATTAATGGGATTGCATTCTAGAAACCATTCCTCAATCTACTTTGTTACCTGTAAGCAATGGACAGGAATGAGCAAACTCCCTCTGGAAGGTCGTTCGCATATATTAACAACAGGAGTGGTCATGGGATAAGCCTTGGGGAACCTCACTTGTCGCAGTCCCCCCCGGTTCGAAACCATCTTCATCTCATTATGACTTTATTCCCTCCTTCAGGCACATGGTTAGGTATCCTACCCAGTTACCCCTGTCTGCTTCTCCACCTTGTATAACCTGTCTGCTTCTCTACCTTGTATAACCTGTCTGCTTCTCCACCTTGTATAACCTGTCTAATTCTCCACCTGGTATAACCTGTCTGCTTCTACTACCTTGTATAACCTGTCCTGCTCTCTCACCTTGTATAACCTGTCTGCCCTCTCCACCTTGATAACCTGTCTAATTCTCCACCTTGTATAACCTGTCTGCTTCTCTACCTTGTATAACCTGTCTGCTTCTCTACCTTGTATAACCTGTCTGCTTCTCTACCTTGTATAACCTGTCTGCTTCTCTACCTTGTATAACCTGTCTGCTTCTCCACCTTGTATAACCTGTCTGCTTCTCCACCTTGTTTAACCTGTCTGCTTCTCCACCTTGTATAACCTGTCTGCTTCTCCACCTTGTATAACCTGTCTGCTTCTCTACCTTGTATAACCTGTCTGCCTCTCCACCTTGTATAACCTGTCTGCCTCTCTACCTTGTATAACCTGTCTGCTTCTTCCCACCTTGTATAACCTGTCTGCTTCTCTCACCATGTATAACCTGTCTGCTTCTCCACCTTGTATAACCTGTCTGCCTCTCCACCTTTGTATAGACCTGTCTGCTTTCCTCACCTTGTATAACCTGTCTGCCTCTCTACCTTATATAACAGCCTCGCATAAGGGACTATGCCAGATTCTTCCTGGTAGCCTAGGAAAGTAAAGAGCATCCAACCCTCTTGTTACACTCTCGTTTTAGTAAGTGGTGAGAGTGACCGAGGCATAATATGCATTTCGATCAAATTCCCAATAAAGTGAGCATAATAAACGCCTGTTGACCTTTAACATCTCTGACCAGTCCTCAGGTCAGGTCGTTTAGATATGACCTCCTATCGCTCCCCCCCCTTTGGTGTCTTCTTCTTAATTATTTTACACCGCTCGACTGATTCATAGAGAGAGAGAGGAAGAGAGAGAGAGAGAGAGAGAGAGAGAGGAGAGAGAGAGAGAGAGAGAGAGAGAGAGAAGAGAGAGAGAGAGTGAGAGAGAGTAGAGAGAGAGAGAGAGAGAGGGAGA